TACAGAAAAAAAAAGTTACTATGAATGAAAAAATAAAAAACTGAATCATATTCAAGAAATTCCAAGATCAAAATTATCTGATATACATATATAATTGCCATGTTTAAAAGATTTATAGAAATAAAGAAGCAATTGAGCCCTGGCTGGTGTGGCTCAATGGACTGAGTGCTGGCCTGCAAATCAAAAGGTTGCAGGTTCGATTCTGAGTCAGGGCACTTGCCTGGGTTGCAGGCCAGTTCCCCTATTAGGGACACGTGAGAGACAACAGATGGATATTTCTCTCCCTCTCTTTTCCCTTCCTTCTCTTCTCCCTAAAAATAAATAAATAAAAGCTTAAAAATAAAGAAACAATTGAAAAATGATCAGCAATGACCAGGCTGACTTGCAAAAGAACCGCATATAAGGACACAAGGAAATTGTCCAGTGGCGCCCATGAATAGAATCCCCTATTCTATCCCTCCATTCCTCATTTACTCTAACTTTTCCTTCCTTTTTTTCATTATCCTTCTTTTTTGACTTGTTTTTTCATTATCAAGATATTTAGCTTTATCTGCACCTCGGCGCCCATAAGATAGTTCTCAAGAAAAGCATGTTCACATGGAAAAATGTATACTGGTGTCATGGTAGGAGTAATGCTGATCACGTCCAAGGTTCTGCTCTCAGAGTTGCAAAATAAAAATCCAGTCTCATATGTGAGATAACCACATTTTTGAAAGACATACCGAAAGTACAGAAATGTTATAAACAAGGCTCATACAGTGATCAATGCCACACACTCTTGTCTCCTGGTGCAATGATTTTTCACTCAATCCATGTTTGTCAAGTACAGTCCGACAACTGAAATATAAACAAGCAAATCTCTCCTGCAATGATTGTCCAAAGCACCATGTTATGAAATACAAACATCACTGAAACTTCTTGTGATTTCCATAATTTCCTACATCAACATATGTATTTCCTATGATAGGACTGATACTTAAATCTACTTTTAAATGTTTGCATCATACAACATTGAATATATCTGAAATTCCCCCAAATATTTCCAATTTCTGAACATGAAAATTAGCATTTTTATACATCCAGATTATTCTACATTTTGAAATACTATCTCTTGATAGATGTTGATATGCATGTAACCAAGATCATTATAACTGAATTAAATAATAAAAATATTTTTCTCTTTAGAACACATTGCGAAATTTTGAGGGGGGCATTTCAAGTTTGTTCATGCATCGCAAAAAATACGTGAAAAATTGTTTCTTCATAACTCTGGACAAAGCATTATCTTTCTTTAGTCTTGTTTTGTTTTCAAATTCAGTAACAAGAAAATTTCATAGTATTAGGGCTTTAATTAGCATAGTTTAAGAATAATTGAAGTTTTTATGCCACTATAATTAATTGCCTAATTATGCTGATTGTTTATAAAAACATTTTAGAAATAAAAATTTTCCGTAAAGCTAATGGGATGTTAATAGAGAAATCATCTACTCTACACAAACACTGGGAAACAGCCCATCCTAGTGACCTTGCATTCTGAAGTATTTTATCTTTTGCCCCTCCCCCACCACCCCTTCCTACTAAATGAAAAACACATTTTGCTTTTTCTGTTTTATATTCCCATCATCACTCTTACCAACGCATTCACACACTCTTGTGTCCCAGTCCAGTGATTTTTTCACTCAATCAATGTTTTTTAAATAGTACAGTCTGCCAATTGAACACATAAATAAACAAATCTCTCCTGCAATGATTGCCCAAAGCACATTGTTAAGAAATACCAGCATCTCCGAAATTTGCTAAACTGAATTTCAGCCAATTGTTTAAGAATAAAAAGAAAAATTTCAATTCCTAATCCCACGATTTTTCTAAATTTCTTGGTTTTATTCAGGCAGAGAAAGAGAGTTAATATGTTGCTACAGAACTTGCTTACTCTTTCAGCATAAAACTCCTACTAGAAATCAAGCTTCCTGAAATTGTCTTCCATAATATGATCCACGAAACATGAGTTAAGCACATAATCGGTAAATCTAGACAATAGTCATGTTCAATAGCATATATTTTCCCGGTTTCTTTATATTAACTGAATCAATTTTTTCTTCTCTCAGACAGGTTAAGCGTAAAAAGGTTATAAGAATGCCTTCAACATCTACCCCATTTTGATGGAAAATCACTTTTTCTATATCCAAAATAATTCAATTATATGTTTTCAACAGGAAAAATGCATACGTGATAAATAAAGGATCTGGATGAGAAAGAAGAAAAGAATAGGAGAAAAAGAAGAGTATTAATTACAGTATCCCTTTTTATATATGAGAAAATGTGTTACACTTCTAATTCAGTAGGCAAGTAGGTAAGGTAGACTTGTTAATCTCCAAGCGAATAAATTTGTGGCTTAAAGCAATTGCAAATCAATAAATGACAACCTTTGCTATATTTTATCTAATTTAAAAACACATACCTTAAAAGGACAAAGTCATTTCCTTATATTATTGACCGGATAAATGAATCATGAAAGATGAGCCATTGTTTTATTCTTCATTGCCTTCAGATGTACTGCAGCCTTCTAATTAACCTCATGTGAAATCTTTGCCTTCCTGAGGGACTATGATTTATAAAACCCTAAGTTCTTATTTACAAAAACCTAAGTTCTTGTCTTTATTCCCAGGAGTAATTTTACTTTTTTATGTCTTCCTAATCTTTTTTGATGTGTTTTTATTACATGGATCAATTTACTAAAAATATAGGTCAGGGCTATATATTTCAATTCCACTGATTTTTAACTACTTATGATATATTGGCTTGAAAGTCTTCGGTATACATAAGATAATGCTGACAACCTTAGTTTAGAACTGTTTCACACGTCCCACAGGATGATCAATAAACAGAGAACACTGTAAAATTCAATTTACATATAACTGGAGAAACCAACACTTGAAAAATACAGGCAGGAGTGTGAAGCCCGATAATGAGGAGTTTAAATTTTACAAAGTGTTGCAAAAGGAAAGTGGTGTGTAGAGGGATGGTAACAGTCATGGTTATTAGTAAAACTGCCCCCAGAGACAGTTTCCTGCCCTAGGACTTCTGACAATAGGTCAGATCTGATGCATAGAAAGAGTTTGAAAGTGTGGAATTCCAGAGGAAGAGGTGTTGAGAAGCACATCTAGGAAACAAGGGAGAACACAAGAAGGAGGCTTGGTAGGGAAAGCAGAGACATAATCATGAAGTTTAAGTTTATAAACCTTTGGATTGGAAAAAAAAAAAAGCATCGCTGAATCAGAAGACACCCTGACCAACCCGATCCCCCCAATCACCACACACAGGAAGGTACTATTTATTAAAGACCTGAGCTTCACTGTAACACCAGAACAGAAAACTTAAAGAAAAAAAAATGAGCCATCCAAACTCCTTACTCTACCCCTTCAATCTCTCATTGCTGCTATAGATGATGTTTACGAAATTTTTATTAAGAAGAAGAGATCGTTTATACCAATGCAAAGCTAGTATAAGAATATAAACGTGCCAACTAACCATTTTAGATATGAAAAAGCAGATAACTCTCCACTGTGTGGGAGGAGACCTGGCAAAGTAGGCTATACTGTACAATTTTTCCCCTTAGTTGAATAAAATTAAATAAGAAATAAGATATATGAAATACAGCAAATTAGATATTATAAAAACTCACTCATGATTGTAATGTGCAATGTTTCTTAATATGATCCTTTAAGTGTGAGTTAAGCATATGATTGGTAAATTTAGACATTAATCATGTTCAATAGCATGTATGTCCAGGTTTTTAATATTGAGTCCATTTTTGCCTTTCAGATAGAGTAAGTGTAAAAGTAAACTGAACCAAAACAACAGCAAATGAAGAATGAGACATGATCTCAGAAATGTTACAAGGTACCAGTTGAACAATTGATAAAAGCTGCATGTGAAGTAATATAGATAGATAAGAATAAAAGATAAAACCCAGAAAATAATACGGCAAAAAAATAGAGATCAAAGAAAAATATATGTACATATATACAAATACTAATATATAAATACATAGACATAGATAGAGATAGATATACTTGTATTTAAATATATATGGTAGGCTGTGAATAACAAAAACCAAAGAGTAAAAAAAAACTAATATTCAAAACTAAAATAAAGCTTTCTTATAAAAAAAATACCAAAATCTATATACTGATATGATTGTTCTTGGGCCTGCACAATTGATCTGGAATGGTGAACCTAAAAACAAACAAATCTGTGTCTTAGGAAAATGATTTATATATAATATGTATTATATATAATTTACATATTTTTTTAATTTATTTATTTTGAGAGAGAGGGGAAGGAAGGGAGAAAGAGAGGGAGAGAAACATCAATGTGTGGTTGCCTCTCACGTGCTCCCAAATTTGCAACCCAGGCATCTGCCCTTACTGAAAATCTAACCAGTGACCCTTTGGTTAACAGGCCAGTGTTCAATCCACTGAGCCACACCAGCTAGGGCTCTATTTTAATTATTATTTAAAAAATTGTTCTTCATCCCAGGCAAGAAGAATAAGTCAGGTGCAAAATAAAATATACAATTAAATAAAACTAAGTCTTTTCAGACTTTTTAATAGAAACATACAAAGAAGGTCAGGAGTAAAGCAACATTTTCTAGAAAATTAAAATAGAATGATTAAATCTAAAGTGGGGATAAATGGTCATGGAAACATACAGTAAGAAAATAATGTAAAAAATTTAAAAAAAAATAAAACTTTATATCTGACCAAGGTCTTCTTCATGCATTCAATATAGAAAATAGCAGGCTATATAGAATGCATAAGCAATAAATAAACAATAGATAAGAAATAGCAAGAACACAAGGAAAACTACTCATGATCCCATCATTAGAAATACATTAAAGAGTAAGCTTCATTCAATGAGAGCCAATACAAGAAATTTTTTTTTCAAAAAACATTCTTTCATTTAAAAAAGTATTTGGAATACATAAAACAAGGCAACACTTATTTTTTTTTCTCATCTTCTGGAATGGGATCTGTCGGTGGCTTCTCCACTGTCGCACTGGTGCTCTCCAAGCCAGTGTTGCTATGACTGGTTCCTTCCTCTGCCATACTGTCCACCCCCTCCTGTCCACTCTCCTTGCCCTCAGGAGTAAACGTGCCTTCTTCACCATTCTGTTGACGTTCCACCGTTTCTTCAAGGTGTGTCTCCTCTGTCTCCATGGGAATGTTCTCATTGTCTTTCTTTTCTTCAGACTTCTCTGCTGCTTGCTCTTCCTCAGGAACAATGCTGCTCTAGCTGCACTCAGCTTGCTCTGCGGCCTCCGTCTCCCTTTCCTCCTGCCTTTTGCGAGCCTGTTCCTCTGCCTGTGCGATTTCAGCTGCAATTTTTTCCATATCCACTTCTATTTTCAAACCGCACAACCTTTTAAGTTCATTGTTAAATGAATCTGTGCTTTCCAGGAATTTCCTCTTCTTTTCCTGGTGTCGCTCCTCTATTTGAAGAAGTTCAGCTTCTAGTTTTTGCTGATGAACCATTAAGGACTGGACCTGTTGTTTGAGGACCTGCATTCTAGCCCTTGTGACAACTGACCGAACGTCTGGCACCACACTCTCACTAAGGATTTCACTGATCAGGCGGTGGCTTCTCTGGAAACGGGCTGTGGCTGTCTGTTTCATTGAAAAGCCATCATCATAATCACCTGGGTCTCCAGCAGGCTGAATGCTCATGTAGGGCTCTCCTCTCTCCATGCGAGACTGCTTCTGTTGACTTTCCTCCTCTAAAGCAGCTTCTGCATGACTTTTTGCATTTATGTAAGCACGGTATGCGGGGGAATTATGGTAGGCCTTCATAGACTCATTGTACTCTATCTTTTCTGCTTCATATTCCTTTAAATATTCTTGTTTTTCTTCATCAGTGAGATCTCGCCACATGCCACCAATGATCTTGCCAATCTCCCACAACTTTAGGCCAGGACTGGAAGCCTTCACTTGGTCCCAGAAATGCTGTACCTCATGTAGGACATCAGCGGCTTATCGGGTGGCTTTGGGGGTTTTGGAATCATAATACCAGAGGATGCCGTGACCTGGCTGTTGGTGCCCGGGTTCCCTCCCAGCCTGTAGTTGTTGTAAGTGAGATGACTGTATGGATTGTATGTCACAGACCTTGGTGTGCTGGGCATTTGTGTTGCAGGAGCTGGGGTGGGAGGTGGGGCATAAGATGGTCTTTTGACATTTTGGAAGATTAAAGTCTCAGTTCCTTAAGAATGAATCTGAGACACCACGGGCAGAAAAAGCTCCAATACAAGAAATTTTAACAAAGGATTAACAAAAAACAGTTAGGGGAAAGGTCAAGTCAAGGAACATGTATAAAGGACCCATGGACAGAGCCAAAGTGGGGAAGGATTGGGGGTGGGAGGTGGGGGGGGTGGGGCAGGGGAAAGTGGTCGGGGGTAAATGGAAACAAATGTATTCAAATAGTTTAAAAACTATTATTTTTAATGATTGACAACATTAAATCAGAGTCATCATTTAAACATCAATATAATACTAATTGGTCATATATTAAACATTTTAATTTCATATATATTCAGTTAACAAATAAGTGAACACAAAGACACAGTGCTAGAAAAACCTCTTCTGCATAGAAAAATGTGACTAGTAAATGATATACCATCTTAGTGTTTTTAGAAAACATTCTACAACTCCAAGTATAAGTTATAAGGAAAATAATCACTGGGTGAAGTACATTGGAAAACATGATAATTGCATTTGCCAAATTATCACCTTACAGACTACTAATCAAAGAAACAAATACCTCTAAAATAAAAATTGTGGTAAGCACTGCTTTAACCAAATGATCGAACTTAACAAAACTAATAGTGGAGCAACTTGTGCAACTTGTGACAATATGTGCTACTGATGGGCTGTAGTATGAAGTGCATAGAATCATCTATGAAGTACTCCTGCCAACAAGTTCAACTTAAATCAAGCTTTTAGAAGTAAGGCCCAGAGGGGATACATAGAAAATGGAACAAGTTAAATACCCCCGTGAAAAAACAAACAGACAAATCCAGAATGAAGGGACGATCTACCAGACAACTGATTAAATTCTTCCAAAAGTATACATCACAGAAAACAAACAAAAACACACTCACGGTACTGCTCTAGGTAGAAAGAAACATATAAATACACAAACACACATGCACATATTTACATAACATAAACATGTTATATGCATGCATGTTTATATAACAAAATGTATGTTGTATATGTTTATGTGATATAGAATGTGTTATATATGTTAATATAACGATATACACACGCGCGCACACACACACATGCACACAACCGAAAGCAGTGACTAAAATTTGATTGAATATGGTAAAGAGACTTTGGGGATCATGAACAGAACTTTACATATGAACTGAACAGTCAATGTTGTTAACAGGATCTTCTTTTCTACTTAATATTGATAATGTTAAGTTACGAAGAATAGCTTTTATTGTTATACATAGCCCTATGTTTTAGATGAATGATTTTGATGTGGTTTTGTGAAACTTCTGGAGGCGTGTCCAAACTTTTGTTGTCTCTGGGCCACACTGGAAGAAGAGTTGTCTTAGGCCACATATTAAATACACAAACACTAACAGAAACTGATGAGCAGAAAAGTGGTTTTAAGTAAATTTACTATTTTGTGTTGGGCCGCATTTATAGTCTTCCTGGACCACATGTGGCCCGTGGGCCCATGGGTTGGACACCCCTGGTAGAGTTTTCTCATATCTAAATCATCACTTAAGATCATCCAGATATTTTTACTGGGGGTAAAGTTTAAACTGTGGCAGTGCCATTTTAGTTTGCCTCTATGAATTAAGCTTTCTGAAAGGTATTAAATGATTATTAAATTGTCTATGAATGCAGCAAAGGCTGTCACCAGTTCACCAAAAATTCATTTTCTCTTCTTCGGTGCACAGCTATTTCGCATTTCCCAACCTTCCTTGCATTTAGATGAAACCATATGACCATCTTCTACACAGCGGTACATGAGATAAGTGATAGATTCTACTGTGAGACTCACTCAGTGTTTTCATCCCACACTGTCTCTCTCTTTATTCCAGCTGGATTCCGGAAATAATAAGGCCTTAGAGTCAAATAATTTAAAGGGCTTGGACTTCTTACTTCATGAAGGAGAATTACCTATTCGTTAGGAAAACTACAATGGACTAGGAATAAATTTCTACTATGTTTGCATTATTGACATGAGGGGGTATTTATTATTATGGCTTAGTTATACTAAGGCATTAACATGTAAATATGTATATCATTATTATTTAGGGTTCAGGTTTTTTATACTCGAAGTAAAATTTAAAAATTACAAATATAACTTAAAATATATAATTTTGACTTTTGTCTTTCCTGATTTCCAATTTACACATGAAATAAAGCATGACTGATGATTCAGTTAATATTGAATACTGCAAAAAAAATTAAATGCTTTTTTGTGTTGACAGTGTAAAACTGTCAAAAACCTTTTTGTCTCTAATATTCCTGTATGTATTAAGATGATCCTGCCACTATGTTTATAATTAACACACAGCTTTCTATTATTTCTTTTTTAGCATCTACATAATGCAACATAAATCAAAGTAATTTTACTCATCATTACTAAGTTCTTCTGAGAATTACAAGTGGTATTCCCGTTACTCATTTATGAAACTGCCTAGAAAGTAAAATTTATTGTGATGAAACCATGAAAGGACAGAAAAATCTTAATAAATGGATCTTGGCATAACAAAGAAGTTCTTGAAATACTCAGACTTGAAATAATCTACTACAATTTCCTCTTGAGCTTTTTGGTCCCAGTTAATCTTGCCTGTTGTGACTGAATTTTAATTAAAATAGATATTTGTACTCTAGAAATTCAGAGCATAAATTAAATTTCATAGATTTTTGAGACTAAATGAAAAGCAAATAGTTCAATGAGCTTAGAATTTTAATGAAGGCATCAGAAATTGTGGGCATTCTTCATGTTATAGCTGCTGTCGTCCCAAAATACATCTACACTACTGTTTGGAGATCCAGACCGAATTAACCAGTCAGTCTGTCGAGTTAAATGTTCAAAAAGTTCAAACACTAACCAAAGGCACTGTTTGGGAAATTAATATTTTAGTTGAACTATTTTTCATATTGTAAACAAATGATTAGATAGCTCCATTGAGACACAGAGGAGATATATTTTTCAAGTTATATTTTTGATTTCCAAAAAATACAATCTTTGGAAGATTTTTCTGAAGGCTGGTATTTATTGTATGTTAGTTATTAAAGATTACCAAGCTGGAAATAGGATGAGGCTGTTTAATGACAATTATCTTGGTTTGTTTGATGGTTGACTTTTTAAAAACTACTTTATTGGGATGTGATTGACCTACAAAAGCTATACATATTTAATCCATGAAAGCAGTATATTTAACTTGATGCATTTGGAAATACGTGTATGTCTGTGGATCTGCTTTTTCATTTGCCTGCTTTTGAAAGCATTGTTCAGGAAATGGTAATGCAGGGAAATCACCTTTCACTATCTCTGACAACATTGAGCCTGTGTCCCTCTGAAAGGAAGTAACAATAAATGCCTTAAAATCAATGGTTTTCAGTCTTAAGTGTGTGTCACAATCACCTGGAAAGCTTGGTAAAGTGAGTTTGCTAGGTCTCATCTTCTGAGTTTACAATTCAATATTATAGGGATGGGTACCATGAATTTGCATTTCTGGTAATCCTCCAGGTCGTGTGCATCTGCTGGTCCAGTTCACTTTCTAAAAACCATTGGCTTAAGCATTGAAACCTACATAACACTAGAGCTTTATTTATATGATAATTTAAAAAAATCAGATAGATGTAGAAAAGCCTATATTTTATTATATTAAATGAAAAAAGAACTTCTGAACAAAAACATCAAATAATCAATACAATAAAAGACAACCTATAAATGGAAGAAAAAATGCAAACTAAATATCTGTTATGGGGTCAAGATATAAAATATGTAAGAAACTGCTACAACTCAATAGCATAAAAACAACCCAATTTTTTGACACAAGGACAAAGGCCTTTAAAAACACATTTTCTAAAGAAGACATGCAAATGACAAAAGGAATATTAAAAGGTGATCAACATCACTAATCATCTGGGAAATGCAAAAGAATCCCAGAAGGAGATATCACCTCACACCCGTTAGAACGGCTATTATAAAGAAGTCAAGAACAGCAAGTGTGGTCAAGGATGAAGAAGAGAGCTCTGGTAAACTGCTGATAAGAGTGTAAATTGGTGCCCTCACTATGTAAAGGCCCAACGTGGCCTCTCATTCTGCAACAGCTTCTTTCTGTTTGGCCTTGACATTTCACCATCTCTGAAGAGAGAAGCCTCTGGTGAAGGGCCTTGGGGAGCCCTAAGCCAGCACAGTTCCCTCCTTTCCCTGCGTTGCTCTGCAAGTCCCACCTGGACTAATGTCATTTAACTCTGTTGTCAGTGCCACTGTACTCTCCTCAGGCTTCACCTCCTTGACTCAAATATGAGAAATTGTCTCTAGGTTGAGAGATGAATATGTGATGGGCTTACTGCATGTATTTTTTTTCCTTTTTTTTTTCTTTTTTGGTATCTCCAGAATGTCATTTCCTCTGTGGTATCTCTGAATACGCTCCCAAAATGCAGATGAGAATTCAAGTTCAAGAACAAGCCTTCTGAAAGCATCTTTGCAGTCAAGGAAGCCTCTGCCACAACATTTACTCTAGCCATAATTACTGTCTGTTTATTTAATTTAGGCTATCATATTGTCATTATAATTTATATTATTACCAATAATCCTTTAGTGAAAAATGTGGCTTTGGTGTTCATAATGTAATTTATTTTAAAGTCATATCTTCTAAACTTTGTTTTATTTTCTCCTTTGAATTTATATTTTGTATTCACAAACCCACATTTTTACCTTCTTCTTCTTATTATTCCACAATAGTAACGACTAAGGACACTAAAAAGTATCAAGAAGAAGTTATAACCCAGATACTGTTATTAATATTATATATGTTTTTAATACACTTGAGCACATTTAGATTATTATTATACTTTGAAGGTTAGGACTGAATAAAATAATATATAGCTTTGTTAAAGTTTCAAACATATACAACACCGCATTTTAATATTTAACCTCCAGAGAAAGAGTATTTGAAGTGGTTTGAAAAGATAGAGAACAATAAGATTAAACAAAAGTGAGGAAATCAGAGGTTCAGAAAATT